CTATCAAATACGTGAGTTAATGATCAACTAACTTCAATCAATAATATTTTTCTTTTTGACTAATCTGATTAATGGTAATATGTAGCGTTCACAGGTCAGATTGTGAAAATTATATATTTTTTAAATCAACTAGGAATGGTCTTTTCGGTGCTGTTATGTCATTCGATTTACTGATAGACTAAGTGTGAAACAGTTTATTGTGAAAGACTTCACATTTTGAAGTTAACACTGAATGTGTATTGCCTAGAAGTTAACAATGGAATTATTTTAATTGAATTTTCGATTTTCCTGTCGATTGATTGATTGATTGAACCGAAGTGTTCGGTCTCAGGTTGACATATCTGTCGGCTTCTTGTGCAGATGTTTGGGCATTTAATTAGTATTTAACTGGTGGATGGTGACTAACGGCAGTGGAATCCAGGATAATGCACATTTCGTCCTCGGTGGTGGGAACATCATTACTCAATTACTGAGAAATGCAGCCACATCCAGCTGGAGGATGAGTCCCAAATAGGACAAAATGCACGTTGTCCTGGATTCCACTGCCGCTAGTCACCATCCACTAATTAAATGGAATTACTTCTCAAAAAGAGAAGATGTTATGCCAGTTTTTAACGCCACAACAACCAGTTCTCCTTATGAAGCTAGTGAGTCGGTCTGTTGGTTGGTCAATCGATCGATCGAGAGTTAGATCAATTATAAGAAGAATTACATGTTCTGTTCGTATGAGCAGTACCCCAGTTGTTGTGGTGAGACATACAGGCAAGTGGAGTTGTGTACGCATCTGTGTAAATTTCTATTGTGAAAATATATCATCTTAAGTATTCATCAATATATTATAATGAGGCCTGATTGAATGTATTAGATGATTTATGAAGAGGGAGTTATTTAATGAAGTACAATAACATTTGAACTGATGGATTTACATCTGTGAGGCGTGTAAGGATAATGATGGCAGGTCTATTAGATGGGTAATCATACTGTAAACTTGACTGATAGAATTCAGTCGACAGTGGTTACCCCCACCCCTCCCCGCCTAGCGATCGACAATGTATTTAACTGACTACTACAAGAAAAGATCAATTGTGGACAGAAGAGCTCACCAGTAACAGGCTATGACTGCAGTATTGAGGAATGCCAGTATGTGATTTCTGGGGTGAAATCAATCGCAGAGAAACTACTGCACATAGACCTATTCGGGAATTCTTCATCATCAGTGAGCACCCATGATCTCACCCATCTAAGTTCTGGGATTGAACACAGAACCTTCGGGTTACGAGACTAAGATCTGAATATCAGTTTCCAGCACAATGATGGCTATTTGTTTATTTATTATTTTTATTTTATTCCTTCACGTTTCGAGTGGAATGTTATGGCTTCAAGCTTCAACTTTGAATTTTCAGTGGCAATAGTTTTATTTTCACGGGGTGGGGTTGCCAGCCTCATGTCTAACCTTCTCTGTTTACTGGGAGGCTTAATACTGGCTTAGTGATGTTTACGAGTGCATCAGCAGAGGATAAAACTCCAGACCACGTGCGTAGTTGGAGAGCGTTCTACAGCTCAACCGATGGAGCTCATTCACATAATGACACACCAATTGATTGGGTATTTATATATTGGTTTTCAGGAGAACCGCACACACCTTGAGAAGCGAGAACATGCAGAGTATTGTCTTGTGGAGCAACCACTTGAGAGCCCTCTTCCCCGATGGACCAAAACATTATCAGGGTGATGGCTAGTGGATGGATTTCCTTAAGCTGAAATGCGAAATCGTAACCAGTGAAGTCGACCACATCATGATGAAGTGGATGCGCTCATCGAAGGCATTAGCTAGGGTAATACATTATCACGAACTGACAAAGTTAGGATTCAGGAGTGGTCAATGAATCTCAGCCAAAGCGCGGCTGAATGGTCAACAAGTTCGATCTCGTAACCTGAACATCACATTCCGAGTTCAATCCCTGAAGAGTGGCAGAATAGAACGAAACAGCTGATAAATGTCAGTAATCTACAAAATCTTGGTCTACAGAATTTCTCGATGATTGTTTCCAATAATCGAGCATCGACTCAAACTGCACCATATTGGTGAGCTGCCTAAACTGATGAGATTGAGCATATTACAAACTAGAACTCAATCAGTAAGAGTAACAAGAACACGACAACATGCCAATTGTTACTCTTCAGTGAAAAATTAATTCAAAGCTTTAGGTGAGTATAAAATTTCTAGGAGATTCGATCTCCGTGTGAATCTTCAGATCTATATGATATGTGTTGTCAGAAGTCATCTTCAGCCAACTTACGTTTCCTTCAATAAATCCGTCGCTGTGCGTCGGTGGCACAGTGGTTAGGACTCTCGCCGACCATGCACATGGTCCGGGGTTCGAGCCCGCACCGACGCACACCTGATATCTATGGTCGGCCTACAAAATGTGGGCTACCGATATCCATGCTGAAAATTCCATACTTGTACCGAAAATACAGTGTGGAATCAAGCTGTAGATCAAAAATCAAATCAAAAAAAAATCAAATAATCAAAGTGTATCGACGAGTACGTGTGTTGACCAACTAACCACCACACTAAGTGAAAGATATTGGTATACACTGTTGTATACGTGGGAATGTGATTTATTGGCCAGATCTAAACGACAGTTGTTCAGTAGGTCCCGAAGTTCGACTCCCGTTCCACCAATTTCAAGCTTTGACAACTAAGTGGCCATCTTGACCATTACGCAATAAGTGTGATCTATAAGTTTGACGTTATTTTTATTTATTTTCTTTTATTCCTTAACGTTCCGAGTGGAACATGGGGCAGTGGTTTCATTTTACGGAATGAGGTTGTTAGCCTCACGCCCAACCTTTCCTTTTTACCAGCCTTACCTACTGACGAGGATAAAGAATGGTGTCGGTCGGTCGGGGATCGAACCCAAGAACATAAGCCTGTTTGGTGAGCGTTCTACCGCTCAACCACTGAAGCGCATAATTTAATGTATCGGGAAAAAATTCATTTCACAATACCGGCAAAGAGATTGTCCATTACACACAAGAAAATAACAGTCACAGGCTGAGAAAAACTCAATACATATCTCATATATTATCGCAGCAAGAGACAAAAGTTGCTAATGGATTCATATAGGTCTAACACAAAATACTTTGATATACTTAAATCCTTTGACTATACTTGGTCATCTCATATTTTATAGATCTCCAAGAAAATGTTACTTCTAAGCTAGAGCATTAAGAAACTAAGACAATCTGGAATCCAGTATTGGTTTTGTAAGGATTTTGTTTATTTATTTTTTATTTTATTTTTGATTACAGCTTGATTCCACACTGTATTTCTGGTACAAGTATGGAATTTTCAGCATGGATATCGGTAGCCCAAATTTTGCAGGCCAACTATTGATATCGGGGGCGCGTCGGCAGGGGATGGAACCTCGGACCATGTGCATGGTCGGCGAGAGTCCTAACCACTCTGCCACCGACGCACAGTGGGGGGGGGGGGATTTCATGATGAACTGACATCAGTTAGAGAACCACTGGAAAACCAACTGGGAGTGCTGGACAGCTGTTTCATCCTAGCAACTGGCTTTATTCAGGCAGTTAACCTGGGGTTCTAGTGGGAAACCGCAAGTGAAAAGCAACAAGTTGGCAGAAGAAGCATCCAGAGAAGATAGGACTTTAGGTGAACATAGAGAAAACAAAAGTGGGTGATGAAGATCCCCGGCCAACACCAACAGCAACAACAGACAACAATTAGCCAGCATAAATGGGAGGAACCTGAAAGAAACAACCTGCTTCACCCACCCTACCTGGGAGGCATCGTTTCAACTACAGGCGAAACTGACGAGGATATCATAGCGAGGATCGGGAAAGCAAGACAAGCTTTCATTACTCTCAAGTCTGTGTGGAGATCAACAGCACTCAGAATCAAAACTAACATCCGGATTTTCAACTCCAATGTGAAGTCAGTCAGTGCTACTATACGGATCTGAGACTTGGCCAGTGCGTCATGAAGAGCATCTCAAACAAACTACAGACTTTCATCAACAGCTAGCTATCTTCGCTCAATACCACTCAAGATCAGATGGCCGGCCCGAAAGATCAGCAATAGTCAGGGATCTCTGGAAATGAGCGAACCAACCAGGAACCGATTGTGAAACAAATAGGCAGGAAGAAATGGAGATGGACTGGCTGGCCATACTCTGAGGAAACCATCAAGTGACATCGCTAGACAAGCCATTGCTCGAATGGAACGCGAAAGGGAAGCGGCGAGTTGGTCGTCAGTGCAAGGGTGACTTGGAGGAGGTGATGTGAAGAGGAGATGAAAGCATGTGGGGGCAGGCTTGGAGTGGGGTGAAAACGTTGGCAGAGAACCGAACGCAATGGAGACGCGCGGCTGAGACCCAATGTTCCTCTAGGAATTAAAGGAAATAATAATACCACCAAGTATAAGAACTCAACGATACCATATTTGGCCAGCCTGTGTTCTATGCAATAGAGACAATGTGTTAAGCGTGAAACTTATGAATTACTATACTGTTAGCAAAATAATCGGTTGTTTTATTATCTCCTATATTTGTAGTCTAAGGTTTATTCTATCACAATTAACTGACATTCTTAGCTACTAACCTTATGCTTATTATTATTTACAATTTGTGTGTGTGTGTGTGTGTGTATACGTGGCTTCACTGTCACATATAAATACCCAATAAAACACTGGCGTTAACAATCAATTCTGCAATAATTTTATCTTTATAAATCAATTTGTTCAATTTGTGTTATTCGATGAAATGAGATGCAATCATATTGTACCAAAATGCTGAAAACTCCACACTGTAACATTAGTACTGTTTTGGAATAATGCAAATTATTACTATTATTATTATTATTATTATTATTACGAAATCCGAATAAAACAAAATAACTACCTGTTTGTTAATATTTGGAATATCAAAAATCAAAAATAAAGTGAAACTAGACAACACGTAGGAATTACTTACCAGCAACATAATCATACATGGCTATCGCTGTGAACATTTCTGGAGTTTGACTACACGTGACAACATCAGTGTTGGGCTATAATTAAAAAAACAAGAAGTGAACATAGAAATACAATTATAGAATAATAATAATATAACAATCAATCATCATGAGCTGACATTAGTTAGAGAATCATTGGAAAACCTGGGAGTACTGGACATTTGTTTCATCCTAGTTTGGGAGTCTTCATCTGTATGCACCCACCGGGATTCGAACCCAGGTCTTTCTGGTTACAAGGCAAGCTCTCTAACTAATGTCAGCTCATGATGAAATCCTGTAACCAATCAAATCTATACAAATCAACACTTGAATATCAATCATATGCTTACTAACGACTGGCCCTATTTGGGTGGGGTCCTAGTGAGAAGTCGTGACCAGTAGGGTGCAGCACGTCGGGTGCGAGGACGAATACTCGCCGAAGACATTGGCTGGGGTCGCGCTATGTCATGAATTGGCTAAAGTTAGAATTTATAAGCCATTGGACCGGGTCTCAGTGGCTTAATTGTTTACGGGAGAGCCCGCCTTGTAACCAGAAGGTCCTAGGTTCGAATCCCGGTGGGTACAAATTGCTGAAGAGTCTCAAACTGGGACGAAGCAGTTGTCCAGTACTCCCAAGTTTTCCAATGATTCTCTAACTAATGTCAGCTTATGATGAAATCCTGTAACCAATCAATCAAATGCCTACAAACCAACACTTGAATATATAAATATAGTTAATAAAGAAAATTGTAGAGAGAAAATTGTCCGACACGTGCACTTCCAAATGAATGACATCAATACACCACACTCACACACACGGACAGGTCTGTATAGACCTGTTTATAAATATCCTGACCACAGGTGTTGACAAATACACTGGAGCTGTAAATCATTGATGGTCTAGGCGTTCAACTTCCTACCACTGAGTCACAGACGGATTCCAATCCAGAACCAGTTTTGTCTGTCTGTCTGCCTGTCTTCGACATAGAACTTTGCACAGATGTGCAGCAGTTCAAGTCGACACACTCCCTCCCTCCATGTACCACACAAAGCGAGAGAAGAAAGTAGAAGAAATGCATAATAGAGATAGTAAACAGAGGTGTGAGACAAAGGAATAGTAATAACAAAGAACAATATAGTTTCATTGGAAATCATAAGTCACGAGAAGTGGATGCATCTGCACCAGCCAGTCATTGAGAACGATTTCGAGCCATATCACCAATTGCTTTCAACCATTGGGTCTTACCGTCCCGAAGACCCCAACCAGCCAGTCAGGAAGTCTACACCTTCCTACGTGGCTGGCCGGCTTAAAGTAACTGTCGTGGATTTCATTGACTGATGAAGCCATGTTTTGGTTTGACCGCCGCTGGCTAGCTGTTCTCCAGCCTGACCCTTTGTCAGCTAACACTGTCTATCGAGGAAGGTGTTGGCTGGACAGGCATGCGTAACACATGTCCTAACCATCTCAGTCGATGTAATTTCACAGCCTCGTCGATTGATTCCCCCTTCCACCTACCTAGCACTCACTCCAGCAGCTAAATTCCTTGCTCCCGTGTTAGGTGGCGAAATCCGATGAGTAAAATGTTACGTAAGGAGGGTAAATCAATTGATGAGGTTGTGAAGCCACGTAGATTAAAATTATTACAACACGTGTAGTGTATTCCAAGCTATAATCTTCCACGATTGGCAAAGTGAGCCAAAATGGAACCACGCGTTGCAAATATGAGACCTGGCCATTGAAAGTGGAAGACATGAAACGATTAGCTGTCTTCGATCATAGATGCATGCGTGGTATAATAAGGTGAGCAATATTGAGGTTAGACATCGGTCGAGTGCCAGCTAGATAGGTGGGAGGGGAAATCAATCGACGAGGCTGCGAAGTTACATCGACTGAGATAGTTAGGACGTGTGTTACGCATGCCTAGTCATTGCCTTCCTCGAGTGACGGACAATGTTAGCTGACAAAGGGTCAGGCTGGAGAACAGCTAGCCAGCGGCGGTCAAACCAAAACATGGCTTCACCAGTCAATGAAATCCACAACAGTTAGTCTAAGCCACGTAGGAAGGTGTAGACTTCCTGACTGGCTGGTTGGGGTCTTCGGGACGGTAAGACCCAATGGTTGAAAGCAATTGGTGATATGGCTCGAAATCGTTCTCAATGACTGGCTGGTGCAGATGCATCCACTTCTCGTGACTTATGATTTCCAATGAAACTATATTGTTCTTTGTTATTACTATTCCTTTGTCTCACACCTCTGTTTACTATCTCTATTATGCATTTCTTCTACTTTCTTCTCTCGCTTTGTGTGGTACATGGAGGGAGGGAGTGTGTCGACTTGAACTGCTGCACATCTGTGCAAAGTTCTATGTTGAAAACAGACAGAAAGACACGTTGCAAACGACTTAGGGATGTTCAAACCAAAACCTGAGATCACAGTTTATGGAGTGTTTGACAATTGCTTTGAGCGCAATGTTGGAAGGTGTAGACGACTGTCAGGATTCGAAGAACCAATGGATAGAGACTATTATAGATACGGTTTAAAATTCATTCGCAATGGAGCGTATGTATTCCCACTCTATACGACCTCTGAGATCCACTCACAACGCAAATGTTATTCTATGCTACTGTTCTTTCTTCCTCCCACATATTTCTGCTTATTCTGGTACTTTAGAATCCCTTTTCCCCTTGTATTTTGTCTACCTTTGTCTGCTACATTGGAGTAGCAACTTGAACTGTAGCACTTCTACCTGACTGCTTTCAACGTAGAAATTTGCACACCTGTATAGAAGTTCAAGTTGCCACACTCCATCCACTTAACAAATAGAGCAAGACAAGACACTAAGTAAAAATAGATTCAAAATGGAGAGAGATAATAAACAGAAGGGTGAGTGACACCAAACGAACAGTAGTCATGTAGAAGAACAACACACTTTTATTGGATATTATAAGTCACAAGGAGTGAATGCACCTTCTCCAGCCATTGCAAACGGTGATTTTGAGCCATATCACCAATTGTCTCCAGCCTTCATTGGTTCTCACCAACCTCGGAGGACCCCAACCAGTCAGTCAGAAAGTCCACACCTCCCTACGTAGCTGGCTGTTATGCATTTCATTTACTGATGAAGTCATGTTTTGGTTTGACCACTACGTGCTTGCTCTTTTCCAACCTGATCCATGCTGTGAGTCAGTTAACATTTCCCTTCACTCGAGGAAGGTGATCGATGGCCAGGGTAGGCTAGGAATGTATAACACAGTTACACATGTCCTAACCATCTTTCTCAATCGATGTAACTTCACAACTTCGTCGATCGATTTTGCCTCCTTACCTAGCACTTACCCGATCAATGCCTCACTTCAATATTACCACCAACTAAGACGGGAGACAGAACGCAGACACCTATGATCAAAGACAGCCAGCTTGTCATGCTTTTCATGTCTTCCACTTTCAATGAGGACCACATCTCACAGCGAGCGATAAAGGAGAATGAAGCGAACTGGTGAGCAGTATACACGTCCTTTGGTCAATAAATAGCCCGATGGATATCACGTTTACTAAGGTGCCAAACCAGCCATCTCCACCTGTGCTTTGGTTTAAGTGTTGTCAACACATACTCTACCATTTCACTCCCCTCTGTCTTCAAGTTAGGCGTGAGTCGATGTTGCATAGAGTTTTATGCACATACACACAAGGCAGAGCTGTCAATATAAAACGAACTTTTGACAGACAGTTAATGAAACCTTGATGTTTGAAAGTGATCTAAGATCGCTGACTGACTGGTTTCAACGTGGAACTCTTCACCGAACTACAGAAGTTCGAATGATTTCGATTACAATTTTCAAAAGTATGCCACTTAGCTTAAGACAACGTTTTTTTTTACATGAACAGCAACACGAATACCATAAAACACCATTCCCTTGATATACCTTTCAAAAAGCGCTTATCAGCTAAACTTTTTTTTAAATCAAAATTTATACTTATAAATAGACAAAAAATAAATAAATACTTAAAACCACCTCTTACCTGATGATGACCAAGAGAATTTCTTTGATAGTCCTCATGTGACTCATCATTCGCATTATTCCTCTGACTGACCTCCTCCTCATGACTTATTCGATTCGATTCAGATAGTACGGATAAGTTATTTGAAACAGCTGTCGTAGTGACAGGATTACTGCTCGGGGGATCATCACGCTTTTTAGTATTATCACCAATAGAAGAAGACAACTGAGTAGCTTTCATTGAATCATCAGTTGATTGGGGGACCTGTATTCACCGAAGAAGAAGCGGAAGAAGAGAAACAAACAGAATGTATTCAAATGACAGATAAACAAGTTGACAATTAAAGTGGAAGGAAGGTTTCGTGTGCTTTTGCAAATGTGTGGGCTGTTGTTACTTCCCGGCTGCCCACACCGTGGAAGTTGACTGATTCTTCGAGTAACTTGAAACAGAGAGAGGGTTAGTGTTGCGTGACGACAGAGCAGAACACAGGGGACAACTGTTTGAGGCCAGTCGGACACACTCACGGCCTGTATGAACTGGTTTCTGGGATTGATTCCGTATTAGTAAACTCACCAAGGGTTACGGACCACCGTAGGTAGTATAATTCGGGATGTAGAATTTTTGAGGTCGACCTTTTCTAACCCCCTCTCTCCCTCCGGAGTGGAGAGACAGCATAGCTGGCTGGCTGGTATGCTGGTCATCTGAGGGAAACACCTCACTGCTGTTACTTCCCTGTTCCCCATCAGTACGACTTCGCCCACAGACCCCCACCATAGTGGAAGAAAGATTCTTACACAATGCTGGTAACTGATTTTAGTCTAATCACTCTCCTAACAACCTTCCTGGCATGGTAGGATCTGCAGGAACACTGGTTCCAGCCAGTGTAGCTGGAATACAAGGGGCTCGTTTCGCATTTGTTAGTTTACGCCGACTCTGGCGTAGACGAGATGTTCGACTATCGACCAAAGGGCGGGTGTACTGCTCATCAGTCCGCTCCGTCCTCCTTTATGGCAGGCTGTGAGACCTGGCCACTGAGAGTGGAAGACATGAAAAGACTAGCTGTCTTTGATCATAGGTGCCTCCGCTCTATTTCCCGTGTAAAGTGGCATAATAAGGTGAGCAACATGGAGGTTAGGCGTAGAGTTCTAGGTAAACAGGGGAAATCAATCGACGAAGTTGTGAAGTTACAAAGACTGAGATGGTTAGGACATGTGTTACGTATGCCAAGCCATCGCCTCCCTCGACGAGCAATGTTAGCGGATATAGGGTCAGGCTGGAAAAAAGCTAGCGGCGGTCAAACAAAAACTTGGCATCAGTCAATGAAATCCACAACAGTTGGTCTAAGCCACGTAGAAAGGTGTAGACTTCCAGGCTAGGGTCCTCGGGACGGTAAAAATCTATGGTTGGAAACAATTGGTGACATGGCTCAAAACCGTTCTCAGTGGCGCAGATGCATCCACTCCCTGTGACTTATGATCTTCAATGGAACTGTTTTGTATTTCTTTATTACTCCTTTGTCTCACACCTCTGCTCACTGTTTCTATTATGCTTTTCTTGTACTTTCTTCTCTTGCTTCGCGTGCTACACGGAATGTGGCGACTTGAACTTCCGCACATTTGTGCAAAGTTCTATGTCGAAAACAGACAGACAGAGTGTAGCTTGTTGGGTCATCGCGATGTACAAGCCCGACCGCCACGTCAAGGTAGCAGCTAAAGTTGAAGACCTATTTCAGGGATGCCCATTATCTCCATTTCTATTCAATTTCATCATAGATGTACTAATGGACTTGACCCTAACTCACTTCAGAGACTCAGGGATTGACTTGCTACCAAGGAATAATCTCGTTGACTCGTAGAATATGCAGACGATATAGTCCTTCTAGGCGAGGACGCTGACAAAATTCAGCAGAGTCTTCTGAACACCTTGAGCTGTAATCTACGAATGTTTGGCATGCGATTGTCTGCCGCCGAATGTAAGATGATGAACAAAATCAACAAAAAACGACTACACAGTGTGAAGAGATTTCAGGAATCGGTAATATTCTAGAGTGCCCAAGATAAAAGCTACGGCTTGAAGTCATGTTTATCGATCAAGGTTAGATCAATTAGAGAATGGTATTTAATAAGCTTGATCCCTTTCTCTTTCTCATTTAGGCTGTCATACCTACTCAAATACTGCTTTCTTTCTCATTTATGCGATTTGTGTGTGTGTAGAGAAGGGTTAGACATTTAAACAATCTTGAAAGAAACACTTCAATCATAGACCACAAGGTAAAAATTTATTTTAATAGATCAATTGATATCATATTTTAATTCTCCTGGTTACCATCAGCCCACACGGACTGGTCACTGACGAAATCTCACCGCTGATATAGGATGACTGGTTTGACATTTGTCAGCCAACTTACGCCATCGCTAGCTTAGTAGACGTGATATCCATCCGACTGCTTATCGACCAAAGGACACTTGTACTGCTTATCAGTACTCTCTGTCCTGTCTTACGGCTGTGAGACATGGCTGTTGATTAAAAGTGGAAGACATGAAAAGATTAGCTTGCCGCCTTCGATAGTAGGTGTCTGTGCTCCATCTCCCGTCTTAAATGGTATAATAAGGTGAGAGATATTGAGGTGAGTCATCGGTCGACTGAGTGCTAGGTAAGGAGGGAAGATCAATCGACGAGGTTGTAAAGTCACATCCGGTTGAGACAGATGGTTAGAACATGTGTAACTGTGTTACACATGCCTAGCCTAGCCTAGCCATTGATCACCTTCCTCGAGTGACGGGAAGTGTTAGCCGACTCCCTATAGGATGGATCAGTTTGGCAAATAGCTAACAGGTAGTGGTCAAACCAGAACATGACTTCAGTCAATTAAATCCATAATAGTTAGTTTAAGGTAGTCAGCACTCAGCCAACCAGCCGCGTAGGAAGTTGTAGACTTCCTGACTGACTGGTTGGAGTCCTCAGGATGATGATGAGAACCAATGAAGGCCGGAGGCAATTGTTGATATAGCTCAAAATCTTTCTCAGTGATGGCTCGTGCAGATGCATCTCTCTCTTTGCGGCTTGCCATATCCATTCGAAATACTCTATTGTTCTTCCATATTATTACTGTGGTGAGAGCTGTCTGCTAGCCAAAATTGGTAGACAACAATTTACGTCAATGTCCTCGTTCTAAATCCTGGTCATGAGAAAAAACAAGAACAAAGACCAACCTTGGGGAAATCAACAGCCAATCACAGCAGACTTAGTGTTGGTGGATACGATTAGCAGATATATCGACGGACTGCCTAAAGAATGCCCACAAAGAAATGACAGAATAACCTTCAGCAGGAAAACAACCAATCAGAAGACGTTGCTTCTCTGCTAACAATAACGCTAGTGATAATGTACATAAAATTCTATAAATATCTCTTGATTTTCTCAATAAACGCTCTATCGCCTGGCCCTTGTCTTCTTTCGTTACAACCTTATTGTTCCAATTAATATAGGAGATGGAACGCAGACAGCTATGACCGAAGACAGCTAGCCGGTCATTTCATATCTTCGACATTTTATGCACATATCCGACAGCTGTAAATAAGGACACAGAGAACTGCTGTACAGTACACAAGTCTTTAGATAGATAGCCAACCGAATATATCACTTCTAGGCCAGAGGTGACGTAAGTTGGCGCAAATGTCATACGAGCCTTTTAAATCTACAATGAGATGTCGCTAGCAAAGAGTCCAAAAGGAGTGTGATGTAACTTTCCAAAAAAAGTGAAGTGGTAGGGGTGGTGGTTTGCAGTCTGTACTCATGCCCTCCACCGCCAAACCACCTTCAGTTTACAAGGTGAGCATTCAACATTATCCAGCCAAACTGAAATCAATCGAATCCCTGTAAGACCAACACATGTGGAAATTAATCGAAATGATATGATTTTTATTAATACTAACCGCTTTATTTGAGTCAAGCGATACTGTTGCCCCCTTTGTTGAGGATATTTCTTCTAATTGTTCTTTTTCCTTCTTTTTGCGTTCAGCCTCCCAACGAGCACGTTCTTCAAGAACACGTTGTTGAGCTGCAGACGGAGCAGATGAATTCGTCGATGATGTTGTCTTTTGTTCAAACCGCTGACGTATACTACTTAGACTGTTACCATCTGGTTTAGAAATAGCCACTAAATTTTGGAGGTAGAATAGGAGAAGAAAATACACAAGAAGGAATTTATCAGGAAAGCACAACACACACAGACACACACGGATATTTTATTACTCTAAAATCTCAGTGTACAGATCCACAGAGCATATAACACAAGGAACAACGTCTGAGTGTCGTTTAATATTAAGACCAAATCAGACAGCGCTTCTATATGATTCAGAAACATGACATACACACACAGTGGGGTTAGACAAGGTTGCCAAATCTCTCCATTTCTCTTTAACTTTGCCATCGATGACATTCTGGAGTCAGCTCTGAAGGACGTGTGTGAAGGTGGTGTAGATCTGCTACCTGGAGATAAACTTTTCGACCTCGAGTATGCAGACGATATCGTCTTACTGTGCGATAGCATGCCGGCTGGCCAAATCGCACTTAACCAGTTGGCGATCAGTGTCTGTAAGTATAGTATGTACTTTGCGCCGTCTAAGTGCGTAATACTAATACAAGATTGGCAGGAGCCTGTACCTGCACTCACTCTTGCCGGTGAACTACTTGAAGTTGTTGATAAGTTTGTGTATCTGTGTAGTTGCATGAGTGCTGGCGGAGGGGTGAAGGATGACATTTTTAACCGTATAATGAAGGCTAAAGTGGCATACCTCAACTTCAGCCACCTCTGGCGCCGTCACGATGTTAGCCTGGCTGTCAAAGGCCGGATATACAATGCTTTGGTACGGGCTATCTTGCTCTACGCCAGGCCTGTGAAACCTGGTCTCTCCGAGCTGAGGATGTGTGGCGACTCTGCGTGTTCGATCATCGCTGTCTCCGAAGGATTGCTTGCGTTCGATAGGATCATCGCGTGAGTAATTCTGAGGTTCGGTGGCGTGTGTTTGAACACAGTGGAGATCACCATTCATTTATTGAGTGTCGTCATCTGGAAACACCGGCTTTCGTGGCTTGGACATGTGCTGCGAATGTCATCCCAGAGACTTCCGTACAGGTCTCTGTTCGCTAGCCAGCCCTGGGACGGGATGGAAAAGGCGGAGGGGTGGTCAGTCCATGACGTGGCGTCGTGGGATGAAGGATTTTTGAGCTAGATTAGCATCGGTTGGTGTGTCACGATGGCTTGAAACGTTATCAGATATGGCCAAGAATCGTAATCAATGGCAAACGTGTTGCAATTTCCTTCTTTCTTCCCTTCCCGATGATAGTTAACGAATACTGTTTGAATGAACTTGTTAAGCACGACTGTTCACCTTCCAGATGAGGTTCTTTATCCGTTCTCTACTTATATATTTTTTCTTTTCTTTCTTTTGATCTATTTTGTTTTATTATTATTGTGTGGCGCATCCTTCTTGGTGCCATATTGTACCAAGTGTTTATGCGTTTAAATAAATAAATCAAAACGTCAGTGAAAACATTTTCAAAAGGCTGCAGCACATTTTCACATCAAAACCTGTCTTCCCTCCATTGTTATTATTATTATTATTATTCTCTTTGGTTCCCAGCAGAACATAGAGCTTCAACAGAACATCTCCATTTTGTTCTGTTCTCTGAAGTCTTCTTCAGCCGGCCGCACAATCACCCATAAGCTCTTATCTCTTCCTCTTCACGACACGATCTCTTCCACGCCAACCTTGGATGCCCCAGTCGGATTACACTCGAGGGACTGGCGCGGAGTGTCACTCGAAGGTCTCCTCAACGTCTCTCATCTATCTCCATTTTCTTCTACATATTTGTTGAGCAATAGGTTCTCGCCTGTTGGTTCGTTCTCAGAGTGTGTTTTTTCCTTCGGGTTCCAAGTGGAACAAAGGGCTTTAAGCTAGAGGCTTGAAGTTTCTGTAGCAGCGTTTACTTTTACAGCATGAGGTTGCTAGCCTCATGCCCAACCCTTCCTCTTCACCGGCTTTTTATTACTGGTTTGACGAGGTAAAGGAGTGCGTCGGGCGGGGATTGTACCCCGGACCATGTGCATGGTCGGCGAACGTCCTAACCACTGTACCACCGACGCACGGTTCCCAGAGTTACTTGTTGTTATTTCTTTCCCACTGAACATCTGACCTTCAGTATAGAACAAGTGAAGGAGGCAGCTGTTGGAAATGCTTTTCGTGACGTGCTAGCTAAGGTTCTAACCCATATAAACGAACTGACTGACTTAGCATTTGTGCTGAAAATTCGAATTTTCTTCTTCATGCTGTGGAGTGTAGAAGACTTCCAAACTGATTTCAGAATGAAGAAGATGTCTGTCTTGCCCTTCCGATTCAGACTAGTTTTGACATCCTCATCCGTTCCAACTGCCTTCAGTTGATACAAAGATGCCTAGATAAGCCAAGGAAGTGACTCCATATTAGTTTGTTTATTAGATGTATCACACACACATTGAGTGAAACAGTATTATTATTTACTGAATGAGGTTTTGAACAAAATTTATTACTGTTCATAATCACTTCAACAATTATTATCACACGACTTCGAAACTTGAGTTTTATAGTTTTCTTTGTTCTCTCTCTCTCTCTCTCTCTTATTTGTCGTCCTAGGGGTAGTAGCATTTTCCAGATATCTGGGTGGATAGGCGGTGAATCATTCCTATTACACGTGTTGATTTTCAGTTGATTCGATAAGCAGAGCTTCTGTTATCAATTTCTCCCTCCCTACACCCTGTGACATTAGATTTTGAAACTGTCATCTCATTCCAACATCCTATTGTCTGGTTGTGTCTAATTGCATGTAGTGAGTGCCATAGCCGAACTATTCTCTAGATTTCTTATCTTATTTGGGTCAACTGATCTAGATTTTGCTGCTAGGTTTTATGTTCAGCTAGTCTGACTCACTGACCCTGTTCTGCTAGTAACTTCTATGTATTTGACCTGACAATCATCCTAGCAGGATATTAGGTAAACTGAATTGTTTTGTTTCAAAGGCTCCACAGAATCCACCATTTCACTGACAAAGCTTGTTTCTAATTGAGTTTGTGGTTGGTTTGAATGCCAGCAGCCACTTTTATTCCTGCCTGTATTGTTAAGAATTCTGCGTAAGGTGGTTTCCGAGGTTCCTCCCTTGTATGGAATTACTACTGAGGATTTAGACTCCTTATTGTTGGTGTCGTCATTATTATTATTATTATCACTATTATTATTATCATTATTTTTGTCATTATTATTATTATTATAACACTCGCTACCATGATTATTTATTTTATTTTTATATTTCCTTACATACTTCCTGACTAATTTATCAGGGTAATTATTAAGTTTCAAGGCTTCCTTCGTGTGTATCACTTCCTGTCTTAGATTTTCCTTGGTACTACTTAGCTTTTGTGCTCTGTCACTTAAACATTTCACCAATCCTATTTTTACTGACGTAGGACGGGATAATCGGAAGTTCGAATATCTCTTTGAATGTGTGAGTTTCCTGAGATTGATAACAGAGGCTTTATTGATCGAATCAATTGCAAACACGTGTAATAGGAATGATTCAACACCTGTCCACCCAGATATCTGGAATATTCTACTGTCCCAACGACGACAAATACGAGAGACAACAAAGAAAACTATAAAACTCAAGTTTCAAAGTTGTGTGATTATAATTGATGATATGATTATGAACAGCAATAAATTTTGTTCGAAACCTTGTCATCCAGTAAGTAATACTGTTTCACTCACTGTGTGATACATCTAATAAACAAAGCAAAATGGAATCACTTACTACCACAGTGCGCAAGTTTTACACATATATCAATACGAAGGAAGTGACCTCTTTCCTTCCCTTCCCGCGCGTACTGATGATTAAATAACCAGAAAGGATAAGCAACAAGGAACCGACCAACAACCAACTGCCCTATGAGATGCATTGAAAATACTATGATGTGGAGACCGCTGAGCGACATCATACTTCACACCCTCAAGTGGGACTCGAATAGGAGGCGACGATTTGGGCGTTTGAGAGTGACATGGAGAAGATAATGTGTGAGAGGAGAAATGATGAAAGCATGACCAGCAGTCGTGGAGCCAGAGAAAAGTGACAGCAGAGAATCAAGTGTCTCCGAGGCCCTACTATCCACTAGGAACGTATAGAATTATTCGTATATAATAACAATAATAATAAAATCGAATAAGGTATGATATCTTAAGAGAGAATACCTTTCATCTGAGATGAGTGCAGTTCTGTTTTATTCGTTTCATTCCAACCAACTGAAGAGGCATCCACCCGATCAGTTTGTACACCGAATTTTCCACCAAACCCTTTAGCATAATCCACTTGAGATGGATGATACTCTGGTTTTTCATGATGATCCCAACCTAAAGCTGACTAGATTAGAAAAATAGAAAGGAAAAAAGTAAACGATAACAAAAATGTATTTGACTGATGGAGCCTATCAGTGGAATCTACGAAGCAACTCGTAAGCCAATGGATATACTTGAATTATCTTTTATTCTACTCTATTCCTTCGCGTTTCAAATGGAATGCATCTGCGTCAGCCATCACTGAGAAAGATTTTGAGCCACATCACCAATCGTCTCCAGCCTTCGTTGGTTCCTACTTACCACACCGAGGACTCCAACCAGTCAGTCAGGAAGTCTACACCTCCACACGTAACTGACTGGCTGGTTGCTGACTATTCTAAACTATCGGTTATGGATTTGATTGACTGATAAAGACATCTTCTGGTTTGACCATCACGTGCTAGCTCTTTTCCAACCTCATCCATCCTATGTGAGTCAGCTAACACTCCTTGTCACTCGAAGAAGGTGAACAATGGTTAGGCTAGGCTAGGGATGTATAACAGTTATACATGTCCTAACCATCTTTCTCAACCGGATGTGACTTCATAACCTCGTCGATTGATCTATCCTGCTTACCTAGCACTTACTCGATAGATGCCTTACATCTCTCACCTTATTATACTATTTAAGACGCGACATAGAATGCAGACACCTATGATCAAAGTTAACTAGCTGGCCTTTTCATATCTTCCACTCTCAATGGCCATCTCTCACAGACAGTCATAAAGGAGGACGGAGAGAACTGGTGCTATCCGGTACACATACCCTTCGGTCGATAGCCAGCCGGATATACCACTTCTACACCAGAAATGGCGTAACTTGGAAAATATCAAACGAGCTTTCTGTACCCGTACTGGGATTTCGTCACCAATCAACCTGCTGGGGCTGATGCAATTTCCCCAAGTAAGCGAAGTAGTCAACACGCCCTACCACTTCACACCCCTCTGTCTCTAAGCTAGGAGTGAGTCAATGTAATCCAATCCTGTAGCACACTATCATCTTACACTTAACAGGAGAGAATCGAATGTCAAACACTCAAAGATTCCTGCTCCCCAAGGTGTACTCTGCATTGTGTCAGAGTCTTCACCTAGGTGGAAGGAACATATCATCTGCATATTGTAAGTTAACCTGATTATTACCTTATGGTGACAAGTCAATCCCTGAGTCGATGAAGGCAGCAGTTAGGGAGAATTCCATTAGTACATCTATGATGAAATCGAATAGAAAATAGCGACAATGGACATCCCAGACGAACACCACTGGTTGTCACCAGTTCAGATGACAATCTTGCGTAGGCTCTCACCTGGCTGACTGCATGAGTTCGAGTAGAGTTCCTTGATCAGTGACATGTACTTTCTCGTCATTACCTTTACAGCCAAGCATCGTCATAGTACATGTCCGTCGATAGAATCGAATCCCGCCTTAACCTCAAGAAATATAACGATTTCAGGATTTCATCATGAGCTGACATTAGTTAGAGAACCATTGGAAAACCTGGGAGTACTGGACAGCTGTTTCGTCCTAGTTTGGGACTCTTCATCAGTACGCACCCACCGGGATTCGAACCCAGGATCTTCCGGTTACAAGGCAAGCTCGTATACCATTAAGACACTGGGACCCAATCCAATGGTCCTTGAATTCTAACTTCTGTCAATTCACGACCGCTAACCAATGTCTTCGCTGGAGAGTATTTGTCCTCACACCCGACCGGCTGCACCCTACTGGTCACGACTTCCCACTGGAACCCAGGTAACTACCTACCTGAACAGGGCCAGTCACCAGTGAGCATCTCATTGGTATTCAAGAGTCCCAAACTAGGACGAAACAGCTGTCCAGTACTCCCAGGTTTTCCAATGGTTCTCTAACTAATGTCAGCTCATGATGAAATCCTGAAACCAAATTTTTATTTTTTTCTATTATTTTTAGTAACAGCTTGATTCCACACTGTATTTTTGGTACAAGTATGGAATTTTCAGCGTGGATATCGGTAGCCCGAATTTCGCATGCCGACCATAGATATCTGGTGTGTGCCGGTGTGGGCTCGAACCCCGGACCATGTGCATGGTCGTCGAGAGTCCTAACCATTGTGCCACCGACGCACCAACCAATCAAATCCCTACGAACCACCACTTAAATATAACGACTGTTTGACGCCGGTAAGTATCCCTATGTTCCAGAATCTATCGAAGGGTGAAGATGTGATCGATACACCATCTTCCCGGTCTAAGGACTGTCTGGTTCTCTCGTATTTTTGTTTCACCCGAGCACCACTTAGTCTACATATGATCATAGAACCTATAATTTTAGATATCGTATTGGTCAAGCTAATCACCCTGTGATTATCACAGGAAGACTTCTCCCCTTTCTTGTATATCACGATAATGAGAGACTTACACCAGCCCGATGGGATTTCCTCTGATTCCCAGACACTGCCTAATACCTTAGTTAACGCAGACAGTAAACTGTCTCCACCATCCTTAAATACCTCTCGGATCATTCCATCCGATGGGGATGGGGGGATGCATATTCAAATTATCAAAATACACAATATAATACAATACACGTGCTGGAATGCTTACCTTATCTTGTCTATCTTTTTGAACACCATATTTACCACCGAATCCAGTGGAATAGTCTTTCTGTGATGAATGCTTTTCTGTTGTCTCTTTATGATCCCAACCAACAGCTGACTTGAAAACAGCAAAATAATATACACACATTTATACATAAATTTTAAAAAAAGAAAGATATCAATACAAGCATAACAAGTATGATACACATTCCTTTTTTCAAATATATCTTAATGAATTGCTCAATAAGTTGACCAACATATTGACACCGATAGATCACTCATGAGTAACCAGTATCATAGTCCCCATAAACGACCTAGTACAACCAAGACTGGGTGGACTTCAGTCTTCCTACTGGAATGTCCCCTTCCATGTCATCAAGTGTTCGTAGCCTCTGTTCATTGCCTTTACACAGTAAATGGGGGACGCCCTTCACAAAAGTAAAAGGGCAAATATGAACGTCTGGCACTTATAACCGAACTGGTGGACATGCTGGTCTGTCTAGGGAGAGGAGCTGAAAGATCCTGATTCCAGACCAACGGTGTACATGGGCTCCACAATCCGAAAGGGTCGAATGGCCTATGGCAACACAGCTCCACTGCTTTGTAGATTACAATTCAAGTCAAAGGCGACCACCTGTTCCGGATATAGGCGTCCGGATAGTATCCAATCTCTTATACAAACTATGGCACACCTTTTGGTTTCCATAATGTATCAAGCTCGCGTTGTAATAATCCTAATAAACTGTGTCACGCGTCTAGTTTTTAGTGTTGGTACCGACTGAATTCTGTCAGTCAATTTTGTAATATGGTCGACAGGAATCCCCAGACGTTGATTACAAGACAATGTATATCTCCATGAATCAAGCCGTATATACACAAAAGAGTTGATAATACTGTGTCGTGTGCTACTGAAAGGATTTATCAGTAGTATACAGAGAGGCATTCATTTGGAACACAAAAATATCAAATAGCGGAGAGATAGATTTGACATCCAAGAGAGCAAATGATTCAACGTTGCGGGGAATCATAGAAGACACGAAAAGAAGACAGGAAAGCACAATACGAAGGGGAGAAGTAGCACAGTACGAACGATCTGTACAAATGATGATTCGAAGATAAGATGTACATGATTTCGCTATATAGCGATACCAAACTACAAATAAACATTCCTTTACCAAGTTTTTAGTCTTCTAAAGTTACATTACTATCACGTCATTACTTACTTTACTTTACTTCGGCTATCTCCTACGGGAGGATGAGCCGGCTTCATGAACCATGAAGTTTCATGGGAATTGGGTACGAGTGATGTCCCCAGCATCGCCCGGCCTTTTGTTTGAGAGTGCAGCTCTAGCCTTTACACAACCAAGTGTGACCTACAAGGCAGTAGGAGTGGAGTAAGGAGTCCACTACCCATTGGAAGCCGATGACCGGAGTCCGGTTCATTCGCCTTTTTGAATGGGGCCAGTCATCCAGGGCATCCAATAAGCCCTTTGTCCATACGTCTGCCGGTGAGCTCCGGTGAGCTTCATACGCCAGTCGTTGGAGGTTTGGAATCAGGGTTTAGCCATCTCCCTTAGACTGTCATCCAATGGACAGTCAACCCGGTGAAGAGCGCCGGGCATCCGCTTTTGCCCTCTCACTTTGGTGAAAAACACCTCCGCCACGTGAAGGCAGTGAGTAGGACTTCCTCAGGAGAGGCTATGTAAGACGCCCGATCATATGGGAGCATTTCAAGAGGTGTACGGAGGGATGGCCAACCCGCAGCGCGAGACACCCACCCCCGACCATCCTGAGGCTTTGGAGGCTATCACGTCATTGGATAAGTTGTAGCTAAGTCAAGTTGGGAATCCATCATTGATGAAATCCTTGGATTCCGAGTGAAACACTACATCCCGATCCCTGCAATCCTCTTTACCTGTGACTCTACGACTGATTGCCCACAAGTTGTCATTTCCTCATCATGCAATCTCCGTTATGTTATCCCCATATGCCCAATTCGCCGTCTTCTATTCAAGGGTCCAATCGACGGCCTGGTGCATGATTTCACTTAATAGTCTTCTAACCACGTGTGTCTGATCCACCTGCACTTCCCATGACATATTTGCTGGGCAAGAGATTTTTGGTTGGTTTGCTCGTGGAGTTCCCTGTTGCCTATTGTGTTGCTGGTCATCTGACCCTCCGTATTAAGCAAAGACAGATGTTACTAAAACTCCGCGCAGTAGCCTGTTGGAAATGGTTTTCGTGACTCATGTCTCGATGAACAGTATAGAAGCGCTGATTTGACATCAGAGTTGACAATTAAAATCTTGTCCTTTATGCTCTCATTGCAGATTTCCACACCCATTTCCCACCCTGACTTTGACATCCACTTTTGTGTCACCTGCCTGTGGTTGAAACGACGGCTTCCATATAATTGAAAGAAGTGACCCCGTTCAAACATCTTCCGTTGATAGTGATTACAATTTGTTGTTGTTGGCGGTGATGGGTGTTGGATGCCTTCACCACCTCTGCCTCCTCTATGTTCCCTTTAAGATGAAGGTGATGTGGGTTGAGGAGAATGATGCTCAAGAAGGCTTCGTGTACTTTTGGAAGTGTGTGGGCGGTTGTTACTTCCCGGCTAACCACACCGTGAAACTTGATTGATTCTTCGAGTGCCTGAAACAGACAGAGGGTTAATGTTGCCTGACCGCAGCGCCCAGGGGGCAACTTGAGGCCAGCGGTCACACACACGGCCTGCATGAACTGGTTTCTTGGTTTGGTTCCGTATTAGTAAACTTACCGCCAGTTATGGACCACCGTAGGTGGGGTAAGTTGAAATGAACAATTTTCGGGCTCGTCGACCTTTTCTAACCCCCTCTCTCCCTCCGGAGTGGAGAGACAGCATAGCCGGCTGGCTGGTATGCTGGTCATCTGAGGGAAACACCTCACTGCTTTTACATCCCTGTCCCTCTGCAGTACGACTTCCCGCTCAGACCCCCACCATAGTGGAAGAAAGATTCTTACACAATGCCGGTAACTTCTTTTAGTCTAATCGCTATCCTGACACCCTTCCTGGCATGGTAGGACCTGCAGGAACACTAGTTCCAGCCAGTGTAGCTTGTTAGGTCATTGAGATGTGCAAGCCCGACCACCACGTCAAGGTAGCAGCTATCGTTCGGGTGTTCCCTTGAAGTCCTATATTCAGTGCTTCAGCTTCAATCTTATTCCTTCTCGCCTGTAGCTCTTCAAGTTTCTACGACGCTAGACGTAAGTCATCATCCACATGATCCAGTCTACCAAAATCAAGAATATCATCGGCGATAACAGGCAGCCATGTCTTACTCCCGTCTTCATCATTTCAAACGCTTCGTTGAGTTTTCTGTTGTGTATCACTTGATATGTAACGTTGTCATATTAAATGAATAAGGACAAATTTGATCATAGATCGATATTAGTTACAGAACTAGTGAAAACCAGAGAGTACTGGACAGCTGTTTCGACCGAGTTTGCGACTTGTCGGTAGCATGCACCCACTGGGTTTCGAACACAGGGTCTTCAGGTTATAAGTCAAGTTCGTAGACCATTCAAAAATTGGTAGAAGTTAGAATTCATGGGCCTTAATCGCAACGGTAATTCATTATGGAACACCCACTGTGTAAACTCACTTAACAAACTGTATATGTTACTCAGGTATTGTCTTTCTCTCCTATGACTGATGTGAATACACCTACGATCAACAAGTACGACGCACAGTTATCAGCCTGAAGTCAGTTCACTAGATAACACAATTCTGGTGAAGTTAGGAGCAAACAAATATGCAGACGAACACGGACATACGCTGAGGAGACCGCTGAATAAAATCACGCACTAGGCCAACGAGTGGAACCCGCGGGGGGGGCAACGATGAGTTTGGCGTCACATTCCAATAATGAGATGGAGGAGATAACATGGGAGAGGAGGTGGAACCTTATGGACTACCATAGAAATACCTAAAGAGGTCTTCAGAGAACAAAGTGAAATAGCACTGTGCTACTGTCTGTCTGTCTGGATTCAACATAGAACTTGGCACGAAGTGCACCAGTTCGAGTTGCCACGTTCCAAATAGCACACAGAGGTAGACAAGAAGATGAGTGAAGAGAATCAATACAGTCTGACAAGTATAAGAGTGAAACAGAATGGGTAATGGTAGAAAGGAATATGAAAGATTACAGAGACTGAATACATCTGCGCCATTGACAACGATTTTGAGCCATGTCACCTATTGTCTCCAGCCATTGATTCCTAGAGTCCCGAGGGCCCCAACCCGGGAGTCTGCATCTCCCTACCTGACTCAGTTTAACTGTCAAGGATTTCATGGATTGATGCCATGTTTTTGTTTGGCCACCACTGGCTCTTTTCCAACCTGAACCTATATCAGCTAGTATTGCCCGTCGGGGGAGGCGGTGGTTAGGCATGCGCAGCACGTGACCTAGCCATCTCAATCTATGTAACTTTATAGCCTCGTCGATTGATTTTCCCTCTTTGCCCAACACTCTACGCCTAACGTCAACATTACTTACCTTATTAAACCACCTAACGTGAGACAGAGATCGCAGACATCTATGATCGAAAGCAGTCAACCTTTTCATGTCTTCAACGCGTATTGGCCATGTTTCAGAGCCATAGAGAAGGACGGAGCGAACTGATGAGCAGTACACACGTCCCTTGGTTGATAACCGAATGTCACGCCTACGCCAGAGATGGTGTAAGTTAGCTCGAGCTTTTCGGATCCGTGCTGAGATTTCATCGCCAATCAGTCCGTTGGTGCTGATACAACTTCCCAAATAGGTGAAGTGGTCAACATTTTCTATCACTTCACTCCCTATCACTAAGCTTGGAGTTGACGTAGTCCAGTCCTGTAGCAGCATCTTACATTTTCCAGGGGCGAACCTCATGCCAAACATACGAAGATTGCTGCTCAAGGTGTTCAGAAGACTCTGCATTTTGTCAGCATCCTCCCCTAACAGGACTATGTCATCTGCATATTCTAAGTCCATAAGACTATTCCCTGGTAACAAGTCGATTCCTAAGTCGTTGCGTTCAGTTAAGGATACTTCCATTAGCATATCTATGATGAAGTTAAACAGAAATGGGGAAAGTGGACATCCCTGTCGGACACCACTGGTTGTTACCAATTCAGATGACAATTCCCCATAAGCCCTTACACGACTACGTGAGTTTGAATAGAGTGCCTTGATTAGTGCAATGTACTTTCTTGGCACTCCCTTCACAGTCAAACATTACCATAGTACCTTTCGATACACGGAGTCGGAGGCCGCATTGAAGTCAAGAAATATGGCAATTGTTGGACGCCGAAAAGTGTGTCTATGTTCTAGAATCTGTCGAAGAGTGAAGATATGATCTATGCACCCTCTAACTGGTCTAAAGCCTGCTTGATTTTCCCTTGTCTGTTCCTCCCTAGTTCTGCTTAGTCTATGCTACTGAAGGCTTCCTTATGTTCTACTCGGAATCCAAGCGAATAACAACAATAAAATTAGGTGTCGAATGTTAGCTAAAAACGGGAAGTCATTCAAAATGTTATAAAGCTTCATCAACTAAGATGATTAACATATGTACCATGTATGTCAAACCACAGGCTTCCTCGACTAATCATGTTAGCTGACATATCGTAATTAGGTTGGAAAGGAGTGTGACGGGCGATCAAGACAAAAACACAAGATTGATGTTAACCAGGCGGCTTTCAAAGTCATTTACCGCATACCAACCGAAAAATCTTAACTTCGCCTTAACAGTTCGTTTACTAAATATTGCTGAGACTGGCTGTTGGGATCCATATTAAGAAGCCTAATTTGTGTCCAAAAGAAGTTGGTTGATCCAGACATCATGCCTACCTATGTTGGCCATCTAGGTTTGAATGATCCTCAATTTTTGTGAAATTTTCCTAATTTCAGTTGATATTCTATTTGCTATTATATTTTTATTATTATTATAATTTATGCATTTTTAATAAACTGTAATTCTATTGTGATCTTCTTTTACAAATCGATATTATTTAAAAACACGCCAATATTGTTATTGACCGCTAATCTAGAATATTCTATGTATATAAACATGCACATATATCTAATTGTAGAGGCAGAATAGGAGGAAATTATCGAAAGGGATATTCTTCTTTGCTCACATTTATTTTGTGTTTTAGAGATGTCTGATTGACAATTTTCACCATAAAATATTTGACTGTCTGTTTGAACCATGCTAAGAATCAATTAACTGGAGACTGTTCACAATGGTGGAGACGTACTCAATCTTTGTTGTCATCTGTATTTTGAACGTCTTCACTACTAACCGCCATTCATTGCACCTGTCTCTCTCTCTCTCTACTTTTGTGTATGTTTCTGAGATGTGAAGAAACCAGACCTATCAGACTTTTGTGTTAATTCCTACATTGATAAGTCAGTCAGTCAGCCACTCAGTCAGTTAGTTAGGCATCGTATATGTCAGCACAAAGCACAAACAAAATCGCCCTACTAATATATAAGAAGGACACCCCAGAAATCACTACAAGACTCTTCAAACCTTTAGGAATTGACGTCGTACACAAACCAACAAAATCACTTCACTCAGCCAGCCATGTGTCAACCAAAAGACTCAACAGCGAACGAAGATAAAACCAATATCATCTACAAAATAAATTGTAACAACTGCGAAAAAAATTACATTGGCTAAATTGAACGTCTCCTTCGTCTTCGTATCCACGAACATAAGCTAGCCGTCAAAAGACATGATATCCACTCCCTCACTCATATCACTACATACAGACAACCACGGACATCAATTCGACTGGGACAACCAGCGTTCGAGCATTAGACAGACGAAACAACACTACGAACGCTAGAGAATTTTTAGAATCCTGCCTGGTATTCCAGTGAATCATCAATCAATAGACTCATCGAGATAGACAAAATTTATCAACCGATAAGAAAGAAACCTCACACACATACAAAGGGTCAAAGTTCAAGTCAAAGAAACAATCACTTCCAATACCACAAGTAGCCTAGAAGGTGTGAAAACACACAAAGACAACGAATCACATTCAACTTGGTCACCAGGAGTAATGATGAATAAACTCGTGGAGAAATCTAAAAGCTCACTTCAATTCAAATTGAAGTATGCGCTGAAGATGTTGCCTAGTAAGTAGGGCGATGAAAGCTTCTCAAATTAACGATCCAGCTACTCAGAGAACACAATCACATCAAAATATAATATGTCAGCTTCTTAAGATACAGACAGACACACACGTACACAAATGAATACCGCTCATGATTTAATAATTATGCGCAGTAAAGGCAACCTACTCACCTTATCTTGACGATCAGTTTGTACACCGTATTTACCACCAAATCCTTTAGCATAATCCTTTTGTGAAGTATGCTTCTCTGTGGTTTCAACATGACTCCAATCTACTGCAGACTAGAAGACGAGTAGAGAGAGAGAGAGAGAGAGAGGGATGGATGGATGGATGGAGAGAAGCAAATAAAGGTGAATATTCATTCTTATTTAACCCTCATCATCATACCACAACACATGATAATAAATCAGATGCTCAAAAATAAATCAATATATGTATATTTGATGAAATAAACAATCAATAAATACACGCCACACAAACTCTACACACACACACACATTCATTATATACATAAGTAAAACTATTGATAAATACTTAGCAATAGACAACAGATTATGTGTGAAAAGTCTCAGTATGATATACTTTAGCGTAGTACAGATTTACGCATAGCTTTATTAATAGGAAACAAATTGATTTTTATGCGGATATCGGAAAACACTCAATAAGGGACATTAGAAAGAAGGAGAACAAGAAGTTCAGAAAAGATGGCCATCTTTTTGGTGATTTCATTCTCTAAAGCAGCTGTACAATCGCATTTATATAGATTATTTTACATGGATACAATTATTATTTGTTTAATTAATTCCACAAAGTGACACGAAGGTGATCACAATTTTCAACTTGATATGAGAGTTTGAAGGTACGAATATAGAGATTACAAGGGGCTTAGAGACAACGGGAGGGATTTGAAAGAGGTTACTTCATTCACTTATCTAGGGAGCATTGTCTCAACTACAGGCAGTTGGAACAGACGAGGATGTCAAATCGAGCGTGAACCGGGTGGTGGGCGAGAAACGCATTAATCAACCTGAAGCCAGTCTGAAAGTCTTCGTCACTCAGCCAGAATCAACAAAAGCATTCAGTCGGATTTTCAATACAAACAACGTCAAGTCAGTCAGCTCTTCTATACGGATCAGAAACTTGGCGGGCGGGTCACAAAGAATATTTCCAACAGCCTGTTGCAGACCTTTATCAACCAACAACTGTCTTCGCTGGCTCTATACTGAAGATTAGATGGCCAGCCCAGGCCGGAAAGAATCACCAACAGGAAACTATGGGAACAAACAAAACAAGAACCAATCGCCAGCCAACAAATATGCAGGAGAAAGTGGGGATGGATCGGACACTCGCTGAGGAGACCGCTGGGTGACATCGCTCGTCAAGTCCTCGAGTGGAACCCGAAAGGAAAGCGGCGAGTGGGTCGTCAGTGCAAGGGTGGGTGACATGGAGGAGATCGTGTGAAGAGGAGTTGAAACAGTATGGACTAACATGGATTCAGGTGAAAAGTACAGCCGAAGGAAGACAGAAGCAAGTGGAGACGTGCACTCGAAGCCCTACGTTCCACTAGGAACCCAGGGGAGTAATAATAATAATAAAAGACAATATTGCATAGGATTAGAAAGCAGTTATAACGTATGCAAAAGTAATATTTGATAACTGATAATTGAAATCAAAATCTTCAACTTGAAATGTAAGTTAAGAGGTGTGATGAATAAAGATTGAAAGAGCCTTAGAACCACAAAAAATTGCACAGGATTAAGATATAATGGTCAAATAGTTATTTTAAACGAATTATAAATGTGATCAGGAGGAGCATGGAAACAAACTTAAAATAACTGTTTTTATAACTGAAAACAGAAATGAGGTGAATCGAATGAAGACTGAGGGACTAAGGATCAGACACACACAGCGAACGAAAAAAGGAAGAAAAACCGGAAGCAAAGGGAACATACCAAACTAGGTCCATGGTAGTTGAAGAGGTTGGACTAATTTCTTTTAAACACATAGCTCCGGCTTCTCGATGCATATGGCGAGAGCTTCCACAGTCCAAAGAAGTCGGAAACATACTACTTTTGGTAGGTTCCTATTGACTTTGTAAATCACTTTGAAAGAATCAATTGAGATGTTGTGGGAGGTGTTGATCAGATGTTCAATAATGTCACTTCTGATTGAACCGATGCTTCCTCTTTACAGCCAAGCTAGGTAATGTTCTCTAACACGTTTTGAAAGGACGCGCATACAACGATCTATGTACCTAGCTCGGCACGAGCAGATGAACTGGTATATGCTGGTATAACTTTCATTTCAAGCTCAAATTATTATTTCAAATTTTCAGTTATAAAACTAGTTATTTTAAGTTTGTTTCCATGCTCCTCCTGATCACACTTGTAACCCGTTTAGAGTAACCATTTTACAATTATATTCTAATCCTGTGTAATTTTTTTTGTTTCTAAGCCTCTTGTAATCTCTATATTCGTACCTTCAAACTTTCATATCAAGTTGAAAATTGTGATCACCTTCGTGTTACTTTGTGGAATTAATTAAACAAAAAAATAATTGTATCCATGTAAAATAATCTATATAAATGCGATTGTACAGCTGCTTTAGAGAATGAAATCACCAAAAAGATGGCCATCTTTTCTGCACTTCGTGTTCTCCTCTTTCTAAATTGATATTTATACAGATACTCGCAAATGATATTGGCTGGCGGCTAGCAGTGGCAGTACACACATACAGCTCAGGAATTGACACAAGTCACCATATTCATGGACTATTGGATTCTAATCTCACTGACTAAATAAATGATCATCATTGGATTCGCCTTGTAACACCTGAAGGACATGTATGGGTGTGTACTACTATTGACTAAAAGAGTCTCAATCCTAGATGGAAGTCCAGTTGTTCAATACTCTCTGATGGGTTTCAATGTTTCTCTAGGGCTTCAAAAGAACACAGCCGGTTTGTCCTTCCCTCTGTGGTCCTATTCATCTAGTCCCACAAATGTCGATAATCTCTGTCCTCCTCCATTTCTTCCTCGAGGTGATTCCACACCCATCGTTCGCATTCGGGTTCCACTCGACCTATGGCTTGATGTTGACACACGCGATGGAATTCAACGGTCTCCTCACTGTGTGCTCAAATCCATTTTCATTTTCTTCTACATATTTGATTGAGCGGTCGGTTCTTAGTTGGCTTAACTCCTCGTATTTTCGTGTTGTTAATCCTTTCAGGCCAGCCACTTGAACTTCAATATGACGCCAGAGAAGGTGGACACCTGTTGATAAAAGTCTAGAGTGACCTGTTGGAAAAGCTTTTCCTGACACCCTAGACAAGTTTCTGACACACATAGAAGAACTGACTGACTCAATTTATTGGGTGTCAAAATTCCAAATCTTCTTTTTTATACTGTGGAGGAGTGCAGAAGACTTTTAAACTAATTTCAGATTGATGAAGGTGCCTGTCTTGTCTTTCCAATTCTGACTGCTTTTGACATCTTCATCCGTCTAGACTGCCCTGTAGTTGAAAGGATAGTGGCTTCCTAGGTTGTAGACTTTTATCAACAGCTGCCCGACCTTCTTTGGCTTCATAGTGAAGATCAAATGGCTATCGCCAGGAAGAATTAACAACAAGAAACTATGAGAGCGAGCCAATTAAGAACCGACTACTCAAACAAATATGTAGAAATGTAGAGGAAAATGATGCTCAAGAAGGCTTCGTGTACTTTTGGAAGTGTGTGGGCGGTTGTTACTTCCCGGTTGCACACACTGTGGAACTTGATTGATTCTTCAGGTACCTGAAACAGAACGAAGGTTAGTGTTGCGTGATCGCAGAGCCTAGAGGACAACTGCTTGACACCAGCCGGTCACACACACGGCCTGTATGAACTGGTTTCTTGGTTTGGTTCCGTATTAGTAAACGTACCGCCGGTTGCAGACCACCATAGGTGGGGTAAGTCAGGATGTACAATTTTTGGGGTCGATCTTTTCTAACCCTCTCTCTCCAGAATGGAGAGACAGCATAGCTGGCTAGCATGCTGGTCGTCTGAGGGAAACACCTCACTGCTGTTACTTCCCTGTTCCCCATCAGTACGACTTAGCCCACAGACCCCCACCATAGTGGAAGAGAGATTCTTACACAATGCTGGTAACTGATTTTAGTCTAATCGCTATCCCAACAACCTTCCTGGCATGGTAGGATCTGCAGGAACATTGGTTCCAGCCAGTGTAGCTTGTTGGATCATAGCGATGTGCGAACCCGACCAGCACGCCAAGGTAGCAACTATCGGTCGGGAAATATGTAGAGACAAAGTGGAAGTCGATTGGTCACACACGGAGGAGACCGTCGAATTACGTCATGTGCTAACATCAAGCCACAGCTCGAGTGGAACCCGGATGGGAAACGACGAGTGGACAATCACCTCAAGGGTGAAATGGAGGAGATCAGAGATTATCGGCTTACTTACTTTACTTTACTTCGGCTATCTCCTACGGGAGGATGAGCCGGCTTCATGAACATCTCGAATCATCGCTGCCTGGGCGTGGCGATCTGATGCAAGGTTTTGCGACAGGGTTATCCAATTCTTGTTCCACAAACGGAGTCCGTAGACGGTTTGTAGCCCCAGACACTCCATATCAGCCTTGACTGTACCAAGCCATGTTTCAGCTGTGCACCCCTGCGACATCGCCAAGATGGAAATGGCGAGGGATTTAGAACTGATTTGACCAGATCGTCATCTGGTCGGCGCAGAACATGGCCAAACCACCGAAGGTGACGTTGTTGGACCAGTACTGGAATTTGGTTAATGCTGTAGAGAATTCGTGAAGTTTCATGGGAATTAGGTACGAGTGATGTCCCCAGCATCGCTCGGGACTAGGTGAAGAGGACTTCAGAGAGAAGGACAAACTGGACACGTGCTGTTGAAGCCCTATTTTCTACTCACGACCCAAGGGAACAATAATAAATATTCTTCTGTCCCATAGTCAACATCTTCCTTTATGTATTAAGGTATCAATTAACCCCCATAAAGGACCTGGGGTACAACCGAGGGTGGGTAGACTTTAGTCTTCCTCCTGAAATGCTCTCCTATTCCCTGCCTTCAAGTGGCAGTGAGGTTGTTTCACGCAAAAGTAAAAAGGGCGAATCCGAATGTCTGACACCTACAACCAGTGGATATGCAGTTCTACCTAAGGAGGGCAACTGGAAAATCCTGATTCCAAACATATGGTGTACATGGGTTCTAGAATCCGAAAGGATCAAATGGTGTAAAAACCTGTTTTGGTTACCGGAAACCATGGGAGAATGTAGCTAATGACGCTGATCAACTACCTTGTGGATAAGACTTCAAGTCAAAGGCTAAAGGGTAGCCCCCTCGCCCCCTGAAGACCAGGTCACTTCAATCTATGAAATTTTAGCCGATAATACACCAAGTTCGTGCTTAAATTACATTACCCTCTGAACACACACACAGATTGTTCTATATCACCAGTGCCCATTATTATCTAAATCTACACAGGTGTTAATATAAGAGTAGAACTTGTGCACTGTAGTAGAGTATAATTCCATTATGTATAGTGGTCTATTACTCAGTAATAGGGGGTGACATAATTGATATAATTACTCAGAAGTGAGAAAATAGAAAAATTGTAGATTACATGGTACTCAACGAGCCAAAGATAGAAATTTGATAAGGCTAAAATCGCTATTGAGTGAGAAGAAAGGTGACAGTTGAGTGTCAATTTACCAAGTGTCAAGAGGGTGAGAAAATGTACAAAAAGAGCATGTGAGAGTTATAATAGTGAATTAATTGTTAAAGCAAAAACAAATTAAAATTTAAATTAAAAAAGAAAAGAAAAAAATCAAAATTTTTTACAGGGAACGATTAGTGAAGAGGTTAAGACTAAGGTAGAATAAGAGACTGGACAAACTTTTTGTCTATATACAGAGTTCGGGGTTTTGTATTGACGAATTCCCAGCGCCTCTACCATACACGCCAAAGCCGAAACCTGACACCCTTTGTACCATTTGGCCTCATCTTGTGGATGATCTTGAAGAAAGACGACTCTGGTGGAGCTACATGACCTGATTGCACCAAGCGCTGGCAATTCGTCAATACAAAACTCCGAACTCTGTATACAGACAAAAAGTTTGTCCAGTCTCTTATTCTACCTTGGTCTTAACCTCTTCACTAGTCGTTCCCTGTAAAAAATTTTGATTTTTGCTTTTCTTTTTTAATTTTTAATTTTACTTTTAGTTTGCTTTTACTTTTATTAATAATTATTTCACTATTATCACTCTCATTTGCTCCTTTTGTATATTTTCACACCGTCTTCCACATGTTAAATTGACACCCAAATACCGCCTTTATTTTCACTCAATTATTATTATTATTATTATATCCTTTAATCCCTAGAGGAACATAGGGCTTCAGCCAAACGTCTCCATTGCCTTCGGTTTTCTGCCAACTTTTTCACTCCGCTCCAGGTCTGCTCACACGCTTTCACCTCCTCCTCACATGACCTCCTCCAAGTCACCCTTGCATGACGACTAACTCGCCGCTTCCCTTTCGGGTTCCACTCGAGCAATGGCTTGTCTAGTGATGTCACTGGATAGTTTCCTCAGAGTATGGCCAGCCAACCCATCTCCATTTCTTCCTGCCTATTTGTTTCATAATCGGTTCCTGCTGTGATGGTTCGCTCATTGCCAGAGATCCCTGTTTCTGATCTTTTCTGGCCGGCCATCTGATCTTGAGTATTGAGTGAAGACAACCGTTAATGAAGGTCTGAAGTTTGTTTGAGATGCTCTTTATGACGCGCAGTGCAAGTCTCTGATCCGTAAAGTAGCACTGACTTCACATTGGAGTTGAAAATCCGGATCTTATTTTTCATGCTGAGTGATGTTGACCTCCACACAGACTTAAGGGTAATGAAAGCCTGTCTGGCTTTTCCGATTCTGGCTTTGATATCCTCGTCAGTTCCGCCAGTAGTTGAGACGATGCTTCCCAGGTAGGTGAAGGAGGTTGTTTCTTTCAGGTTCCTCCCGTTTATGCTGACTGTCGTCTGTTGTTGTTGCTGTTGGTGTTAGCCAAGAATCTTCATCACCTCTGTTTTATCAATGTTCACTTGAAGTCCCTTCTCTGGATACTTCTTCTGCCAGCTTGTTGCTTTTCACTTGCATATCTTCTAGTTTGTGGGAAATCAGACATATACACCGCATCGGCGAAGTCCAGATCCTCCAAGTTCGTTTTTTGTGTGAGTCCATTTTATGCCTGTTTCCTCAGTGCACGTTGTCTGTCGCATTATCCAATCGACTGCAATCAGGAAAATCATTGGCGATAATAGACAGCCTTGCCTCACTCCCGTCCTCACTTCGAAGGCTTCCCTAAGTTTCCCGTTGTGGATTACTTGGCATTCAGCATTGTCGTACAACTGTTGGATGAGATGTATAATTGTCGATGGGACCCCGTAGTAGCGAAGTAATTGCCAGATCACCTCTCGATCGACGCTGTCGAAGGCCTTTTCAAAGTCGATGAAGTTGAGATAGAGAGGTGACTGCCATTCCAAGCTTTGCTCAATGATGATCCGTAGTGTGGCGATTTGATCAATACATGACTCACTCACTCAATAGCAACTTTAATTTTATCAAATTTCTACCTTTGGGTCGTTGAGTACCACGTAATTTACAACTTTTAATTTTTACTTCGAAAGCCACTTCCGAGTAATTCCATTATAGGTAAAATTAATTTTGATAAAATCTCACAGTGTTATACAGTAATATTTACTGATGACCACATTTCGAGAACAATTTATTGCTCATATCATATCATAACCTTGATATAATTGTGAGCAATAAATTGCGACCGAAACGTCATCAGTAAATACTACTGTAAAAGACCACTGTGAGACTTTATCAAAATAAATTTTACCTATAATGGAATTGAACAGGTATTAATTACTTTAGCCTAAAATACCTGCCTTCCTTTTTCCCATCAACTTAAAATATTTTTGACAGGATTTGATCATCAACTGACATCGGTTAGAGGAGCTTTGGAAAGCCAGCTACGAGTACTGGGCAGCTATTTCGTCCTAGTTCGGGTCTCTTCAGTAGTACACACCCACCAGGACCTTCTGGTTACACGGTAAACGAGAAAGCTCGTAGATCATCAAGTCAATCACCAAGACCCAATCGAATGGCCCATCGGTAAATTTCAACTTTTGCCTATCCACGATACAGCACGACCACTAGCCAACGTTATCGCTAGCGAGTATTGGTCCTCACACCGGACCTGCTGTACCTTATAACAAAAGGTAGAGTACAATCCTTTAAAGAAAGAAGGAAAGAAATAAAAGAAAAAACTAACCTTATCCATACGATCTTGTTCAACACCGAATTTTCCACCATATCCATAAGATGGTTTAGGTGCAATCTTTAGTTTAGCTAAACGATCCGCCTGTTTCACTTCTTCTCTTAATGCTGCCATACTTTTAGAGAAATGCAAAAATATATGTATGCACAACATCATTATATATATATATATATATATATATATATATATATATATATATATATATATATGTTTATCTAGTTGGATAACAGCGTGGAAATATATCAAGTTAAACGAATGTAAGATAAACACGCTGGTCAGATCCTTTTAGAATGCCTGAAATGAACTTGACGGGCTATGTTAACCAACATTGGATGACGTTGGTAAACGGTAAGACAGGACATAGAACGCAGACACCTATGATCAAAGATAGCTAGTTGGCCTTTTCATATCTCCCACTCTCAATGACCAGGTCTCACAGCCAGCCATAAAGGAGGACGGAGAGAACTGGTGCTATCCAGTATCATCATCTTATATTTCACAGGAGCGAATCGAATGCCAAACATTCGAAGATCCCTGCTCAAGGTGTACAGGAGACTCTCCATTATGTCAGCGTCCTCACCTAGGTCGGAGGACTATATTATCTGCATATTCTAAGTCAACGAAATTATTCCCTGATGGTAACAAGTCTATCTCTGAGTCGCTGAAGTCAGTTAAGATTAATTCGATTAGTACATCTATGGTGAAGTTAAACAGAAATCGCGACAATGGACATCCCTGACGGATACCACTGGTTGTCACCACTTCAGATGACAACTCGCCATAAGTTCTCACCTAGCTGGCTGCATGAGTTCGAGTAGGGTGCCTTGTTCAGTGCAATGTGTTTTCTCGGCATTCCCTTTACAGCTAAACATCGCCATAGTACATCTCCGTCGACGGAATCGAATCCCGCCTTTACCTCAGGATATATAATGACTGCTGGGCGCCGGTAAGTATGCCTATGTTCTAGAATCTGTCGAAGGGTGAAGATGTGATCAATACACCCTCTTCCTGGTCTAAAGCCTGCCTGGCTCTCTCATGTTTGTGCCTCCCGAGCACCACTCAGTCTACGCATGATTATTGAGCCTAGAACCATATTGGTCAAGCTAATCACCCTGTGATTATCACAGGAAGACTTGTCTCCTTTCTTCTATGTCGGGATAATCAATGACTTACACCAGCCCGACGAGACTTCCTCTGATTCCCAGACGTTGCCTAACACCTTAGTTAACGCAGACAGGAAACTGTTTCCACCATCCTTAAACACCTCTGGAGTCATTCCATCAAGTACAGCTGCTTCGCCTCGTTTCAGACTAGAGACAGCTATTTGAGCCCAAGGTTGATTTGGTGATGGAAGTCACCTAGCTAGGCGAACCTCAACCAAGTGGTCCGGGATTCGATCCCCGGCCGACGCACTCCTTTACCTCGCTAAGCCAGAAATAATGCTGGTAAAGAAGAAAGCTTGGTCATGAGGCTAGAAACCCCATCCCGTAAGATAAACACTGCTACAGAAACTTCAAGCCACTAGCTTGATGCCCTATGTTCCACTAGGGAACGTGAAGGAAAATAATCTCCGAAATCAGCTGTTTTAAAAGCTACTCAGGCATTAAATACTGTCTGTGAGTGGTTAAAACTCATTGAATCAATCAATTAAGAAACACACACCCCCACTACATCCGTATCCTAATAAAATCAAAGAATTGAAAAACTTGCATAAAAAAGGAACACTTACTCTATAGACGCTTGATGTCCAGAACCAGCAACAGTTTTAGAACCCCATCTTTGCTCTTTTTCAGTTACATCATTCTATATTGATTAGTTCTATTCATAGTGAAAAGGAGTGAATACCACAAAATCAGGTTCCGTCTCCCAATCATCTTCATTTGCGTTATTATTATTAGGCATAACTCAGTTACTCAGCGATGAAGGATTTTATTGAGAATTCTGTTATCTATAGGTAGGGAAGAAAAGTTATCAATCTTATCTTTTTTTCAAAAGAATGTTCCAGTGTCAATATTCAAATTATCAGTAGTAATGATTTCTACAAAGACTCAATGTTTTCTTTTTATCGAGATACCTGGAATAGGCTTCTACATGAATTTTGATGACACCTAGGTATTTGTTATGGAACAATCCTGAGCTCACAGCTCATTCCTATAATGACATGCTCTCTGCAGATAGTGTCAGGATCAACTTAAAACTCTTCGCCTAGACGGTAGTATGTGGTGAAGTGCCACAAGGCACTACTCTAGCCCCTGTTATTTATTTTGTATATTAATGAGTTATCTGCGCCCACCGATTCCCCTATGGCCCTATACAAAGATGACTTAGAAATTTGGAGAAGGGAGCTAAAGGACGACAGTAATCCGCTTATATTGCAAGGGGATCCCAATAAATTGTTTGCATGCTCTGTCTGTATGTCTGTTTTCGACATAGAACTTTGCACCGATGTGGACTGGACTACACCAACCCCTAGATTAGAAATAGGAAGTGAAGTGGTACAACACGTTGACCGCTTCACTTACTTGAGAAGTACCATCAGCCAGTGCCAACGAGTTGATCTCTGACGAAATCTCAGCTGAGTACGGATACAGAGGGCGAGTTTCGCATATGCCAGTTTACACCGTCTCTGGCCTAGTAGACGTGATATCCGGCTGACTGTCGACCAAAGGGCGGGTGTACTGTTTAGCAGTCTGCTCCGTCCTCCTGTGAGACCCGGCCATTGAAAGTGGAAGACATGAAAAGATTAGCTGTCTTTGATCATAGGTGCCTGTGCTCTATCTCCCGTGTGAAGTGGTATAATAAGATGAGCAATATTGAGGTTAGGCGTCGAGTTCTACGTAAACAGGGGAAATCAATCGACGAGACTGTGAAGTAACATCGACTGAGATGGTTAGGATATGTGTTACGTATGCCTAGTCATCGCCTCCCTCGACGGGAAATGTTAGCTGATATAGGGCCAGGCTGAAAAACAGCTAGAGGCGGTCAAACGAAAACATGGCACCAGTCAATGAAATCTACAACAGTTAGTCTAAGCCAATCACATAGAGAGGTGTAGACTTCCTGGTTGGGGTCTTCGGGACGGTAAAAACCAATGGTTGGAAACAATTGGTGACATGGCTCCAAATCGTTCTCAATGGCTGGTGCAGATGCATCCACTCCTTGTGACTTATGAATTCCAATGAAACTGATTTGTTCTTCGTTATTGCTATTCCTTTGTCTCACACCTCTGTTTACTGTCTTTAATATCCATTTCTTCTACCTTCTCTTGCTTTGTGTGCTACACGGCGTGTGGCGACTTGAACTGCCGCATATATGTGCAAAGTTCTATGTTGAAAACAGACAGACCGATGTGCAGCAGTTCAAGTCGCCACACTCCATATAGCACACAAAGAGAAGAAATTCATAATAGAGACAGTAGACAGGGATATGAGACAAAAGGAATAGTAATAACGAAGAACAATATAGATTTATTGGAAATTATAAGTCACAAGGAGTGAGTGCATCTGCACTAGCCATTGAGAACGATTTCGAACCATATCACCAATTGTCTCCAACCGTTGGTTTCTACCGTCCTGAGGACCCAAACCAGGAAGTCTACACCTTCCTACTTGGCTAGCTTAAACTAATTGTTGTGAATTCCATTGACTGGTGTCATGCTTTAGTTTGACCGCCGCTAGCTCTTTTCCAACCTGACCCTATACCATGGTACAAAGAATGGGTGCTCCTGATCAAAGTAGAGAAATGCGCAACCATGTACATCGGACAAGCAAGCGTTAGCTCCTATGAAGTACAGACTCATTTGGATTTAGGTGTCATAGTAAGTCACGATTTAAAAACTACAGCACATTGTCACGCGGTAGCGGCATGTAGTTTCATATCCTTATCGGCAATTCACAGAGCCTTTACTAGAATTACCACAGATATGTTCACCTCTTTATATACATCTCTGGTTGGGCTAACACTGGAAAACTATATCCAGGCAACTAGTCCTTCTCTTAAAGAGGACTCACATATCCTAGAAAGGGTTCAAAGGAAAGTAACACGTATGATTCTCAGCATGACTAATTTACCATACGACAAAAGACTATACAGTTTAAATCCCTTCTCCCTGCTACACCGTAGGCAGACAGGGGAAAGAAGACAATAACAGTGTTTAGAATCTTAAATAATGACTACGGACCTGATCTATTCTCTCTTTTCCTTCCTACCTGTTGCACACACCTTAGCGGACATAACAGGAGAGTTCAAAAGCCAAAGCAGAACTATATTGCTGTAGATTACTGCTTCACACACACACACACACTGAGTCATAAACTCCTGGAACCGAATCCTAAAAGAATTGGTGTCAGCGACCTCAATTAACTCATTCAAGAAGGGTTTGGATAAGTACAGAAATTTATTAGAAAAGGATTAACATAGGCTTCAAACTTTCTATCCTTAACCAATAAACCTAAATCACAATTCATTTCAACAATAACATGCTGATACTGTAATAATTCCACAGCAATGTCTTCGCTCTATACTGAAGATCAGATGGCCGGGGTGGAAAGGATCACCAACAAAAAACTATGGGAGCAAACAAAACAAGAACCATTCAATCGCCCAACAAATGCGCAGGAGGAAGTGGAGATGGATTTGACACTCGCTGAGGAGGCCGCTGGGCGACATCGCGCGCGCGTCAGGCCATCGCCCGAGTGGAACCCGAAAGGGAAGCAGAGAGTGGGACGTCAGTGGAAGGGTGACATTGAGGAGATCGTGTGAAGAGGAGCTGAAACAGTATGGACTAACATGGATGCAGGTGAAAAGTGCAGCAGAAGGAAAACAGAAGCAAATGGAGACGTGCAGTTGAAGCCCTATGTTCCACTAGGAACCCAAGGGAACAATGGTAATAATGTCATATAAGATTTAAAACAATCACATCAGAACTTCAATATCTTTTCACACTGTATAGCGTGCCAGCAAATAACTTTAGAATCTAGCCTTAAATATTCATTTTGAAACCTGAACTACGTTTAGTCATCACCATAATCCATTAGATAATATGCACACAATTCAACTCCTGATGCTTAAATTTTAACCTGCAGCTTGGAGTAGGTAGATCTCAACATAAACGACAACACTAACACAACATGAATCACTGTATATGATTGCTTCTCCAAAATATGGAGATCAATACGACAATCTACAAAGAAACTTTAAAGGCAACTACATCCATTTGAAGTGTATTTTACAAAATCAAAGTTAAAAATTATACACCGAATCACATAAATCTTTTTTTTCTTATTATTATTGCTTGATTCCACACCGTATTTTTTGGTACAAGTATGGAATTTTCAGTATGTGATATCGGTGGCCCAAATTTTCCAGGCCGATCATTGAAATCGGGTGTGCGTCGGCAGGGGATCGAAACCAAGAACTGTGTGCATGATCGGCGACAGTCCTAACCGCTGTGCCACTAACCCCACTCACCCAATTATAAAACAATGTATAACATGATTATAATAATGTAGGTCAGCTTAAAATTTGTACGATAGGCGAAAACAAATGACTTCAAATTCTACAGTATTACGTGAAGTTTTGTCACTACGCTGAACTTTGAAGTTTGCAACGATAACTCAACATTATGACAGGAAATTCGTCGTTGCTTCTATTGACGTATCTTAACTAACACTGACGAAGTAATATCCCTTATATGAAGGATATCCTAGTTTGTCCTGTTTTCCATGACAGAGAACATTTGCAAAACCGTCACTATAAAAAATTCTGAGTGCTCAAGCATGGATGAATTAATTGCTATCATTATTGTTGAAAACTGAAGGGTGATGTGCATAACTATAGTTTCAATTTAAATAAACTTTCGGCAAACTCAAGTTCGTATGATATCCAGACGTCTGGAAATCTATGGGAGCGTTTACAATATTAGAATCCTTCAATACAGTACTGTGGATACTAACTACGAATCTATTGATTTCTCTAAGGTAATATTACAGCTAGATATCTACACTACGACAAAAACGGAGAAGCTACCGACGTCCCAAGCTTGCAATAATGTTAAACTAATCCTAAATTGTGAATCAACAATGCGCTCTAATGATGAAAGGATGTTTAGTGGGCTTGAAGAGACCTAATATGTGCTGAAGTAATGCGGTCGGGTTATGCGGAAAAACAGCTGGGTAATATTTTTCACGAGATATCAAGTCACTTGATATTACCATAGAAAAACATCGTCAGTTCAGAAAAAGACTTCAGGGTTATTTTGGGACAAAATTTGAGGAGTTTATAAGGATTTGGGGTTCCTTGAGAAAATTTTGGAACAGATCTAGGGGTTTTTCAGGGGTTTGGGAGTTATTAGAAGGAAAAGCCACTCATTTCACTGAAGATTTTGCATTGAGTTGCCCCAAAATTGTGCCCAAAATTGCCGCAAAATCTTTTAATTGTGTATTGTAAGCTTGGGCGTCCACAAACCTGCTATAACTAACCTTGAAAAGTGAAGGTTGAGTAGTATTTCAAGGTTTTTAGTTAGCGAAACCCAAATCACTCAGTTTACGCAAATAAAAATACTAAATACTGAGATTGGCAACAACAAACTGAGACCAACGCGCAATCAATAAATTACGCGGGATAACCAATATCGCTGGGAGCTAACGTGAAATTCAAACTTCAATCAGCATTTCACTCATGAAATGTAAATATATGAAGGGCTTTTATAAACGCTTTTGAGTACTTGATCCACGACTACTGGTGTTAAGTAATGGTTCTAAGTCTTCTGTGGTTTTGATGTAGATGATTTACCAACACAACATAACCAATACTGATTTTGAGCAACGGAGCAACAGTGCAATTGTATGCCTCGAGATAGAGTTTGATGTTTGTTTAGTTCAATCTCAGAAGAAGTGAGGAAACCCAAATGCCTACGCGTAAAGTATGTAACCATATATGTCATCTCCGCTGTCAATGTAGTTGAAGATTGAACGATCAATTCATGGTTGTTTGCTCAAAACCAACTTCCCCAATTTTCGCGCAGGCATCGATATACCAGTCATCGTCTCATCGGTCGCTGTTAAGAAAGAAGTCAGGAAGAAACCATCAGAAACCTTAGTTTAAAGCTTAATTTTAAAGTTGGCTATATGTTGGTGTTACAATAAAGAATTCTCGAGTAGCCAATCGGTGTTTTGGTTTTGCGTCCGTTATTACTAAGCGTTTCTGAGAAACTTCAAGGAACAACGTGAGTCCCGGCGTAGCAAGAGCTGGGCATTGACGGTTTACGAGACGTTGGTGACATCCGCACTACCGTGTAATTCACGCGCGTGTTCAACCTTTCCTTCATAGCTAGACCCAATTCACGTTCTGAGGTTCCTCAGGAGAAGTCATCATTGCACAAGAGGTAAATTAAACTCAGTGGTCTTTAGGCACATGTTGAACTAATTCGCTTTGCTTCAGTTTCAATGTTTCATCACCGACGAGTGCCCAGTGTTCCGGAACATTCAGAACCGTCTTCAGTTCATTTGATTCTCGCAAATACCTGATTGTTCCTAAAATCTCCAAACCGACACAATAAAGGGAAGCCAGGTAGTACAAAAGACGGTTCCGGGCACTGATAATAACCAAAAACATCCAGGTTTGAGCAAACAACCGTGAATTGATCGTTCAATCTTCAACTACATTGACACTCCTTGCCAAAAAAGGGGATCCATTACTTTTTTCCATCACGACCAATACACGTTGACTTGGATGCCAGTGTGAGAACCTGGGTCACACGGACAAAGCTGAAATGGAAAACAAACAGAAAAGCCAACACACCACAGGCATACCCACAGCACAATCTCACTCATCGACGACGACCTACGCCTTCCAGTTAAAGGCATCCTCCTGATATCTTGCAACACAATCGCCACTTGCTAGAATGACTCTTGCAGAAAGCAACGTGACTAGAGCACCACCTCATGGTATTCTACGCACATCCTCTTATCTATTCACTACCAATTACCACTGAAATCGCTTGTCACTCATTCTGCCTCAGTTCTAGTAATGGTGACGTATGCAAGCCTCAGTCGTCTACACTCTCGCTCGCCGGCGTATGGGACCACAGCTAATCATTATCTCCGTGTGCATGTCATTCTCAGCAATAGCCTCCCCGGCGTATACGACCCATCTGCTGTCTTTAACATCAATCAATTCATTCACGGATTATGGAAGACTCGAAACAACTTCAGAAGTAGTCACGACGAAAATTTTAACGAAATTATTCATAGCAACAAGCAAACACAATGAATCCAAAAACACCAATTGATATGACACACCACACGTGTATAAAAACAGTACCCATAACCTCGGAGATCATGTCTTCATGTAATTTCCTTGAAGAATTGCAGGACCTACACCAGAATGCCTGCAACCACTCTGAGGTTGACGATTGTAAGTTGAATAATATCCGAACACAAACAAGATTAACCAACAATTACATTAATTGGAACTCACACAATTATTTAACACAAACATATCTACAATCAATACATCAAATGTTGTGGATTCTGGCTCGACGAACTACCCTTGAAGAACTGTAGGACTTACAGCAGTATGCCTACAACCCTTCTCAGGTTGACGCCCTAGGTTCGAAAATCCTAGCAGATTTTACTTGCTGATCTCCTTCTATCACCTACATCCTCAACTGTGAACGCTAACAGGCCCATGTCATTGTACCGTGGAATATAGATGACTAAAAACACACGACGTATCTGACCAACCAAGCGTAGGCACAGATTAATTTACACCAGAGATAATAACATTCAAATAGTGATTTGAAATGCCTTTATTTCTGCAAGTCAGTTTAACAATCTCACTCGCATACACGGTTGGCTTATCCTCCCTAAACTGACCGTAGTCTTTCGTCCATTCACACGGGCTGATACCGGCATAGTCATAGCATAAGACACGTGAGTTCATGGACATCCCTTTCTTTGTGGATGACAATATCAACTACGATTCATTGATACCAGTTGATGAACTTAGCGGTGCATCAGAAGCTGTTGTTGTTCGGCTTTCAGAAAATTGTCTAACTGCAAGACTACCACCACTGCTGTCTTTTATTATTAACTCCAGTTTAGCATTAACATCTCTTGATAGATGGACTACACACGGATCATTTACGCTGACGGTCTCATGAGTATCCATACCTCCTGCAACTGCATCTACCTTTAATTCTACTTCGCGTTCAAGTTGTACAGAATCTTTGTTCAACTCAGTAGTAGTAGGCATTCCGCTAACCTCATCATGATCAGGCAAAGACAAATGTGCTCTATCATGAACATTGTCACAAATATTCAATTTACCGTCATCTATCTGGTCGACTTCATCATTTTCAAACTCTTTAATAGTATCAGTAGATGACTTGGGTCCTTCTTCATAGATCCTTAGAGGTTTTATACCTTTGCTCTGACTAGTAATACCTCGAAAACTTGTGGAGTCATGACTTGATGACTCTGACTTCACATTTATCTTATTACTAAACTTGCTCACTGATTCACAGTTCGCTTTTGTATGCACTTCTTGCAAACGTGTAAACCACAACCGTGTTTGTCTCGCAAATTGTAAACTATCTTTTGGGGATGTCCCACGAAAGCTGTTACACTCACTAAGTTTATATGGATTACTAGACACCATATAGTTTTCTTGATATCCACTTCTGTCAATCACGTCTCATAAACCGTTAATGCCCAGCTCTCGCTACACTCGGGCCCACGCTGTTCTTCGAAGATTTCGGAAACGCTTAGTTATAACGGACGAAAAAACCAAAACAACGATCTGCCGTTTGATATTTCTTTATTGTTACACCAACATATAAAAAGAATAAGCGAACTAAGGTCTGAAAACAAATATTACAATAATAAATCATTGTATTACTTCTGATGATATTTTACTCTTCTTTCTGAACAGCGACCGATGAGACGATGACTGTCGTATTGATGCCTCCGCGAAAATCGGGGAAGTTGATTTTGAGCAAACAACCAAGAATTGATCGTTCAATCTTCAACTCCATTGACACTCCCCGGCAAAATATGGATCCAACCCTTTTTTCCTTCACGACGAATGCACGTTGACTTGGATGCCATTGCGAGAACCTGGGTCACACGGACAGAGCTGAAATGGAAAACAAACAGAAAAGCCAACACACCACAAGCATACCCACAGCACAATCTCACACATCAATGACGACCTGCGCCTCCAGACAGAGACCTCCTCTTGACATCTTGCAACACAATCGCCACTTGCTAGAATGAATCTTGCAGAATGCAAAGTGACCATGGCAGCACCTCAAGATACTCTACGCATATCCTCTTATCTACTCACTACCAATTACCACTGAAATCGCTTGTCACTCATTCTGCCTCAGTTCTAGTAGCGGTGACGCATGCGAGCCTCAGTCGTTTACACTCTTTCTCCCCGGCGTGTCGGACCGCAGCTAACAATTATCTCCGTGTGCATTTCATTCTCAACAATAGCCTAGCCTCCCGGCGTATACGACCCATCTGCTGTCCTTAACATCAATCAATTCATTAATGGATGTAGAAGAGTGGACACAACTTCAGAAGTAGTCACGACGAAAATTTTAACAAAATTATGCAATAACAGCAAGATACGAAAACAACGAGTCAACACAATGAATCCAAAAAACACCAATTGATATGACACACCACACATATATACAAACAGTACACACAAATTCGCGGATCATATCTTGATGGAATTCCTTGGAAGGATTGCAGGACTTACACCAGTACGCCTACAACCCTTCTCATGTTGACCATTGTAAGTTGTGGAATGTCCGGACACAAACAAGATTAACCAACAATTACATCAATTGGAACTCACACAATTATTTAACACATACATATGTACAATCAACACATCAAATGTTGTGTATTCTGGAACGGCAAACTACCCTTGAAGAACTGTAGGACTTACAGCAGTACGCCTACATTCCTTCTCAGGTTGATGATCCAAGTGGAAGTCGTCCAGACACAAACAGAATTGCCAACAGATAGATGAAAGATGATATCAATTCAGTATATGCAATATGAACATATGTACAAAATCACACACCAAGCACACTGGACTGATCATTGATGCGCTACCCTTTGAAGAATTGTAGGATTTACAGCAGTATGCCTACAACCCTTCTCAGGTTGACGCCCTAGGTTCGAAAATCCTAGCAGATTTTACTTGCTGATCTCCTTCTATCACCTACATCCTCAACTGTGAACGCTAACAGGCCCATGTCATTGTACCGTGGAATATAGATGACTAAAAACACACGACGTATCTGACCAACCAAGCGTAGGCACAGATTAATTTACACCAGAGATAATAACATTCAAATAGTGATTTGAAATGCCTTTATTTCTGCAAGTCAGTTTAACAATCTCACTCGCATACACGGTTGGCTTATCCTCCCTAAACTGACCGTAGTCTTTCGTCCATTCACACGGGCTGATACCGGCATAG